GCAGCACTATTTACAATAGCCAAGAAATGGAAGCAACCTAAGTGTCCATCAGTAGATGAATGGATAAAGAAGATGTGGTACATATACACAATGGAATATTATTCAGCCATAAGAAGAAAACAAATCCTACCATTTGCAACAACATGGATGGAGCTAGAGGGTATTATGCTCAGTGAAATAAGCCAGGCGGAGAAAAACAAGCACCAAATGATTTCACTCATCTGTGGAGTATAAGAACAAAGAAAATCTGAAGGAACGAAACAGCAGCAGAATCACAGAACCCAAGAATGGACTAAGAGTTACTAAAGGGAAAGGGACTGGAGGGATGGGTGGGAAGGGAGGGATAAGGGGGGGAGAAGAAAGGGGGCCTTACGATTAGCATGCATAATGTGGATGGGGGCACAGGGAGGGCTGTGCAACACAGAGAAGACAAGTAGTGATTCTACAACATCTTACTACACTGATGGACAATGACTGCAATGGAGTTTGTGGGGGGAACTTGGTGATGGGGGGAGTCTAGGAAACATAATGCTCCTCATGTAATTGTAGAGTTATGATACCGAAAAAAAAATAGTTAATCTGCCTCAAAATCTGCAAGTACACCAAGGTGCTGACAATGACATAAACAAACCAACAAACAAGGGACTTTCACACTGCTGGTGCAAGTGTAATACCACACACCCACTCAGTAAAATGGTTTGACACTATCTCTGAGAGTTGATGATAAACTTACCTACAACCCAGCCATTTGGCTCTTGGGTATATACACTCAAGATTGGGCTTCAGCGCGCTCTTACTCTCTCCTGTCCTCTCGGTGGATCATCGTGCTGACGAAGTCCATGACGAGGAACTGAGGCCCCAGTCCAACCACTGTGGAGGCAGTGAATCTTGCTGACAGCGTTAAGTCTGGACTTGCATCCACCTTCAGATGAGTCTTAAAATGCCTGCAGCTCTGGCCCCCACTGTGACTGCAGTCTCCTAAGGGCCCCTGACCCAGGTAAACTGTCTTGGCATTCCTGACTCACAGGCACTGTGAGCTACATGTTACTTTAAGCTGCAAGTTTGGGGGTAAATTGTGACCCAGCAAGAGATGGTTAATACGGGGCCAAAACATTAGGTGATCCTCCACAGACAGAGAGACGCAGAGAGTCTCAAGGCAGATGGACAATTACGTTCTTCCTCTAGGTGCTCTAGGTCTGAAGAAGCAAGTATCTGAAAGGCCCTGGGGTTCATCAACCTCTAGGAAAATGTGCTCTCCAGGAGAGGGGTCATGAGCCCAATCCAAGCAGAACAGGGAGAAAACTCCAGGAGAGGGTCTATAGGTTTCCTGATCTTAGAATCCATTATCCTTAACAGGAGAAAACTGGGTGCAAAAAAAGTTCTTTATCTTGGGATACATCAGTTAAAAGTACAGCTAGTTTAATTAATGACTTGGTAATATATTGTGCCTTTCTTTCCAGAATAGTTAAAATTTGCCTAAAATCATTCCAATACTCACTCACCATCATTCCTAAGCACTTCTACTTTTATAAATCAGTCCCCAAACCATCCTGGCCTTTTGGCTTTTCAAACTTGGTGGGCAAGCTCATACTTTCTGAGATAGCCAATCACTCTGTCCATACACCTGGGTCTCTGAGATCTCGAACCCAGAGCCTTCCTTTGGGGGGGCCTTGGAAGGGGTTCTGGGAGGCCTGACATAACCCGCTTAGAAATGAGAAATTCCAGTGTCCTGGACAGTATTTTGCCACCCAGCTCTTCAGTTTTCAGGCAGGGAAGGAACTGTGTCTTTCCTTACTTCATAACCTCAAATCCCATCTGTACCTAATAGACACCTAATATATGTTGACTGACCCCCCCAACTCAAAAAGAATTTGAGTTATCGCATTTACCCCTTCACAAGTACTGCCCATGACTTTACAATGTGGCATCTGCTATTTCATTTTATTACTGTCATTATTTTCTTATTTTTTGGTGGCATCCCTTTAAAGATGTGTTCTCAAATCCTTTTTTTCCTCCTCAGCACTCTGTATTTGTCCAATCCCTTCTGCTCATACTGCTACAGTGTACACCAGAAATTCAGAGCATATAACTCCGAATTTTTAACTGCATTTTTTTCTGTGCAACAGATCATGAGACAAAAGACTATGCTGTAAAGGAATTATTAGTTATCCTGTTGTTATAAACGTCATCCTCCAGTCACCACTGCCATTTCTACACTATCATGTACATGCTCCCACATAAGTCCAGGCAAATGAAAATGCAAAAGAAAATTCACAATACGAATAGTTTACACCACACATCACACATTCACATTACAAAAAGGTTCTTTTACATCAAGGTTCCCTTGGCAAATTCAAGACTGCATTTACAGTTCATCATTGAACTACAGTTCTACTTTAAATGAACTGTGGTGATTTGTCTGAATTCTTGACAAGTCTGAATCATATAATATTTTAAGGTAATTTTTAACCCATTACTTCACACAAGGTTCAATCCACAGTGGGTTTGCAGTTTTTTTAAAAACAAAAAACAAAAAACAGGATTGACTGGCTTTATCTTTAATTTTTCTGTAATCAGTTGTCCTCTAATCATAACCTATACTCAGAAGCTCTTTCTGATGGTTCCATGGGGCTGTGCACTATCAGAACACCCATGGGTGACACTGTGCTCAGTACCTGGCAGTTTTCTGTCCCAGCCCCAAATCATATGCCCAGCAAGACTGAACCAACTACAAGGTTAGGCTTTTTCCTTTGTCCTGTCTGTGATGAACACACCCTTCTGTACACTCGGCAGAAAGGAAAGTCATGAGTGCACATCTCACCTTCATCAGAACACATTCCCTTCCACTTTACCAAGGAGATCAAAGCCATCTGACGGCAGGGCTTCCCACATCCCCTTCCTCCCCACCTCTACACCGCTCTGCATGTCTCTGATCTTCTTTTCCTTCACTGCTCCTTTCTTTGAGGAAGAAATGTGGGCACTGGCACCAGCAACCATGACCGTGCCGGTCCCTCAGCACGCCTTATCTCCCTCACCCAGCGCTGCTCACTGCGTCCCAGCGCTCTCCTCTTCCGGCATACTTTCCTTTGGCTTTCAAGGTCTTTCTATTGAATGATCACCAGTGAGTTCCTCCTTCTTAAACCAATACACATTGCTCCATCTTCCACCTCCTTCCACCTCTGAATTTGCTGTTTTCATCTTGACCTCATAAAACCTCTCATGTGGCTTCTGAAACAGAGCTCTACCTAGAAGCAGCTCTATCTCTGACCTCTGACGGCCATTTTTCTTTCTCTTTCACTAACTCCATCCTCTTCTTCCTTCCATCTCCAAATGCAGTTTGCAAAATTACGAATGCAAAATATAACTTGGTTTAGTTTAGCAACAGTGTTTTCCAGTATTCTTTGGCTCTCTGAGGTGCTGTGTAGATTGTAATGGGAGAATAAATAACATTTGTGATGACAGTCACTGGAATAGGTAATTTACACAATGTCATCTCAGTTAATTCTCTCACACCATATAAGGTAACATAATGGATTGAATTTTGGTTCTCAAATCTTTACTCTCCTATAGCATTGCTTACAATCACACCCTTGACATCACCTCATAGTTGACAAAACATACTTCCTTGACCCTTGACTTTGGACTTGGTTGTCTGACTTGCTTTGACCAATGGGATGTTAGTAGATGTGATATAAACAGATTAGAAGTATTCTTGCCTAGTTGGGCTTGGCCTACAGTGCTCCAGCCTTTTGCCATGAAAAGAAAATTCCTTAAGGAGCCATTGCTCAAAGGATGGGAGACATGTGAGCAGAGCTGCACCCAACGCACAGCTTAGAGCCAAGCCCAGCCTAGACTGGCTGACCCAAAGACTTGTTAGCAAGAAATAAATGTTTATGGTATTATGCCACTGGATTTCGTGTGGGCTACTGCACAGCAAGATCTACTACAGGTAGGTATTAGAATGCTCATTTTATGAAGGCAAAAACTGAGGTTCCGAGAAGACAGAGCTTGCTCAAATAATGTGATTGAGCTTATTAGCTAAAGACATGGTTGCAGCTGATCTTCAGTTAATCTATAATACTGAAATGAATATCAGTCCAATTTAATAAGTGATATATAAAAGCTGCAATGATCATTTTCCATCCTATCAAAAATAAGGTATATTTTATTTTATCTGGGAAGCAGCTTAACTTCTTGTAGCTGGAATTATGTGCTACTATCTATATTTCAATGTATAATAGGCTGCTGTTATCATACACTGCTTGAGATAGTGGCTTAGGGTGGTCTGCAAATTCTCTCTAAAAATTTTCTTACAGGGGATTTCTTAGTCTAGATAGGTCCATGAGATTGGCATTTTTAAAAAATTTAGAACAATTATTATATTGTGGAATCACTATGTTGTTCCTCTGAAACCAATATATCATGAATCAACTATATTTCGATTTTTTAAAATTAAAACATTTTCACTAACCACTACCTGAAATTTATGATGTCCTTCAATTATTAATATAGACAACACACCACAGTAGTAATAGCAGTACAGAGGACTATTGTTGAGAGGAATCACAGATATTTTTTTACTGCATTACAATTGTTGCAGATATCTAAAATATCTCAAAATATGCAGTCATCCTATTTAGAAACTATGGTGGTTATTAGAATTGCCAGTAAATCTTCATTTTTAATGCACTAATAAAGAAGTCCATATATTACTATGTCACACTTGTTTTCATATTTTGAGAAGTCATCTCAGTATTGTGTTTTATGCATTTAAAACATCAGTCTGAGAAAGGGTCTGCAGACTCTGCCATGCTGCCCGCAGGGGTCAGCGGTACAGAAAGGGCCAAGAGCTCCTAACTTAAAAGAGCTGCACTCTTTTCAGGAAACAGAACATTCTGAGCAAAAACTTTATTAGAATTTTGAGTGCTGATTTAAACCCTCTCTTCAAGGTGCCTGTGGTTAACTTTCCAGTAATTTTAGACCAGCAAAGCTCAAATTAACATGTACTAGGAATTACACCTGATGAGCAGAGACCCGTGAATCAAACCGGGAGAGCCACTGTCAGCTGGAGATTCAACAGAACTGAAAATGTCTGTGAAACTGTACGATTACAGATTTTAAAAAGACACTTTCAAGGGTTTCTTTCGCATCAGGTGTTTTCAACATCAGCACTACTGACATGTGAGGCTAGATAGTTGTTTTATGTGGAAGGCTGTCCTGTGCAATGTAGGACGTTTAGTAACATCCTTGGTCTCTAGCTACTAGACACCAGTATCATTCCCCCCTCCCTGCTCCCAGTTGTGACAATTAAAAATGTCTCCAGACATTGTCAAACATCCCTTAAGGGATGAAACTGCCCCAGTTGAGAACCACTGTTTCACATGATAATTTTCAAGAACACAGTCTACTGAATACAGTGAAGGCAACTTGAATGCATGAATTGGCCTGTTATTCAGTCAATAAATATTTATTGTAGTACCTACTGTGTACATGGACTTGTGCTAAACTATAGTGTTATGCCAGCTTCTATATACAGAAATGTTTTGACAGAATAGGATTCACCTCATTTTGCTGAAGAGAAAATTTTTATCTTAATACCAGGCTATAGTTTTTTTCTCAGTGAGGTGACTGATAGGATGTTCTTAGTATTTCGCTTTGTTGTTTTCCAAAAAGCTACCTACCTGGCTGATGAGATTCCTGAGAGACAGCACACGTCCATGGATGGCAGCTTCATACAAAGGAGACCAATCTGACACATCATCTGCATGGAAAGGGAGCAACGGGTCACACCCTTCTGGCACACACTAGGCCCGTGGACTCACCCCAGCCCCTAGTGAGAACCTCCCAGGTCTTAGTGGACAGAGACACGGAAGTCCATCTACCAAAACTCCCATCAGAACTTCACCACTTCCACTTCATTGACATTGCCTGCACACCATTTATTTGTGATGTCTCAACAGCTAAAGAAGGAACTACAGCCAGTGTCCAAACTGAGGGCAAAAGAGGTGGATTGAGATGACAAGTAGGTTACTGTACTTCCATTTACACACCTGTTTCAAAGGCAAATGGTCCATTTAGCTAAGTGAGACCTTCGCTAATGACCAGCATTAGTGTGTTAGCTGTGGTTGCCAGTCTCATTTCCTGCACGAGAAGCCAACTGTGGCACCTCAGCAAACAGTGCCATATACTAATCATAGTCATCATGTAATTGCATACACTATTAGGCTTGGAATCAAACCTAAACAGAACCATATCTATTTATGGATTACCTTCTGTCCCAACATCAAGCACAAATCAGAGTTCAGTCTGGCTTTGGGGGGTAGTATTTACCCCTCAAAGGCAACGTGCCAGTGTGGCCAAGAGAAAGCCCTGAACTCAGACCTGTGTGGCTTCTTCTAAGTTGTGGGTCCCTAGACAGACTCTGAGTCACACTTTTCTTCCCTGTAAAGTGAGGACAGCAATATACCTACCCACACCTCAGTCCTTAGTAGCAACTATTATTATCCTGCCCTAACAGTAAGCACAGAGTCTTGATGACACCCCATAATCACTGCTATTTAAAATAGCAAATTTATTCTACAACCATACGGAAAGATAACACATTCTTAGGAAGGAAAGCTGTAAACCCTATCCTAACGCATTAAATACTTTCCTCCCTTTGTAATCAAGTACGGATATAACCTAAATGAAGCATAGATCTGAATTTTTTTCATCTCAAGCAGCACCTAATTTCCACAACAAATAAATGCAGGAAGTCATAATGTGAGGATGGTTGCCTGAACTTGCTTCAGCTGCACCTCTGCCTGCTTGAGTAAACACACTACACACAGACAAGGCAGGAGAGTCTGGTACCAGTTGTGCCATGTAAAGGAACGGGGATCTCCTAAAATCTGAGCAGACCTGGAGAGCCAGGGTAGTTCTTAATGCCTTGCAAACTCAAAGGCCATAATGGACAAGGCTAGAACACTCTGTACTTAACATGCATTGGCTGGGGTTGACCTGCTACCTGGAGCTATCAATGGCCTGGATAGTCTGTCCCTGTGAGCAAATCACCATCTTTCCAGATGGATTCCTGAAACATTTATAGGTAGGAGGAAGCTGAGTCATGCTCCTGCAATGCTTTCCTTCTGGGGTCCCTAAGGTGCGTGAGGCAGCTTAGTGAAATGGCTTGTCCTACCTCCAAAACCTTATGCTCGGGTCCTCACAGCATTCTCTGGGGTTCCTGGTTCTCCCAGGAAAAATACTGCTGCTTTTAGGGCTTGGAGCCCACAATCTAGACTGCAGATATGGAAAGATTTCTCTCCAACTTTCAATTAAAAGGACAACTAATTTCTCCCCTTTTGGTGCTGCCAATGTAAAACACCAACCACACAAAATCTTGAGTGAGAAGAGTGAGCCAAAAGTTGAGAAAGTTTTGAAAATTAGTTTTAAATAAATTTGCAAGTGTAGCCTAATGGATCACCGTGTGTGATGATCAAACCATTTCTTTTTCCAAGTGCTCAGCGGCTACCTTTCTTAAAGCGACTTCACACCATTAGAGTTGACAGCCCAAACACTCCAGGCGGGTAACTTGGGTCATAAATTGTAACGCTGTTCAGATTTCATAACAATGAAGCAGTCATATTATCAAGTATAGAAAAAATGGGCTTTACTTTCTATTCATTCATCATGGAATCATTACTCCTTCTATTTAGGGCAAATAAAGAATTCGGTACTACTCTAAGAGAAAAAAAGAAAAGGGCTCCCGGAGGTTTGTACCCCTGCATTAGAATGTAGTATTTACAGAGCAGGTGAAGACTGTGCCTTTGAGAAGTACAAGGTGTGGTCCTACTACACATGGTGGGGGCTGACAATTTCTATCTGTCTAAAGGCTTTATTGAGTTATAATTCACATACTATCTAATGCACCCTTAAATATGCACAATTTAATGGTTTTCAGTATTTTCACAGAGCTGTGCAACAATCACAATTTTAGACCATCTTTATCACCCCAAAAAGAAACCCCTTGCCCATTAGCAGTCACTCCCCACTTCTGCTTCCCCCAACCCCTGGCAACCACTGATCTACTTTCTGTCTCTATGGATTTGCCTTTTCTGGACATTTCATATAAATGCAATCACACAACATGTGCTCTTTTGAGACTGGCTACCATCACTGAGCATGTTTCAGGGTTCATGCACATTATAGTGTGTATCAGTACTTCATCCCTTTTTATGGCCAAATAATATCCATTGTACAGATAGACCACATTGTATTATCCATTTATCAGTTGCTAGGCATCTGTGTTGTTTCTATTTCTTGGTTATTATGAATCATGCTGCTATGAATACTCACATACAAATTTTTGAGTGGATGTATGTTTTCAGTTCTCTGGGATGCACACCCAGGAGCCCAACAGCTGTATGATATGGTGACCCAATGTTGAACCTTGTGAGGAACCGCCAGCCAGACTATTTTCCAAAGTGGCTGTACTACTTTATATTCCCATCAGCAGTGTATGAGACTTCCCTTTCTAATTGAAAGTCATTTCAAATTAGGGTAGGGGAGCCTATCATAGGGTGCCTATACCCCTGCCAAGAAGAAAACCTTGGGTCCTTGTAAAGCCCAGATTCATTTCAAACTCAATGAACAAGGACTTAAGTCTCAACAGGTCTCTGAACAATTGAGTGATTAGATAAAAACTTAAAATTGTAATAATGGATAGGTTGACATTTTTTCTAGCATTGAGTGCATGGAGATACACACGCATACACACAGAGTTTAGGAGATGCCATAATTTGCAACATGGATTAGTCCACACACACACACTCTCTTTAGCTCCTGCAAAAACTGAAGAGAGAGCTGACAAGTGCACCTTGCCTGATCCTGCCTGGGAGGATCGGAGAGACCTTTCTCCAGGGCTTTCCAGAGCCCACACCCCAAGTGGGCAATGAGCTACAGGCCCAACACATGTGCAATTAAACCCAGAAGCAGCTTTCCCTGCCTTCCTGCTGAGAAGTGGAGAGAGTGGAGTGAGCAGGAAAGGGGACCTCTTCCGGCCAGCGCATGGAAACACTCACAGTAGGAGACTATCGATGAAGGGGACACTCAAGGTCACAATCCCCTTTGCCAAGGGTCCTCCAAAGTCTTTGAAACTCAAAGTCCATTATTTGTATACAACACATCATCGAAGCCCGTGGTATGTATTAAGGATTCTTCCCCAACATTTGTTCACCCAGAGTATACTGGTTTTACTGCCAAAAAATAGATGTCAAATAGGGTCACTGGCAATGCCACAGATCCAATAGCGTAGCTCATGGCTCAAATGGGGCAGGGAACTTTAACAAAAACCCTCCACAAGTCCTCCAATTAGCACCATTAAACTTACCTTTCTTTTAAATTGAGTCTCCATCAAACCCTGCAGCACATTAGGAAAGCTGCCATTTCATTTTCATTGCAATTTCTGGAACGATTTTTTAAATTTCCATTATTTCAGAAGAGATTTAAAATGCACTAATTGGTACATTCTGAAAGAGCTATTAACGAAGCTCTAAGCTCTGAGGCAATAGCATAAATCTATCTACCCTGAGAAACATTTTGCAAGGTCAAGAGGGAGAAAGAGAGGTTGGGCTGCTCTGAGAGGGGGGAGTGGGGGAGGGCGGCATTTGCCTTCAGTCTTTGGGACGTGGTGGGGGAGGTTCAGAGGTGCGCACGAACACTGGAGAGGATCTGGGAGCTGTGTTCGTGATTACAGTGGACCGCGGCTGGATTTTAGGACAAAGAAGAAGAGGAGGAAGAGAAACAGAGGCTCATGGTCAGAAATGGCAATGGAAAGGCCCACTAGGCAACCCTTGGGCAAGTGGGGCCTGTCCACTGCAATCCTTTCTCCAGTTCCATTCCCCAGCCTCTTCTGTCTGTTGGGCCGCCTTCCCCACAGGGACCTCACACCACCACCCGTTCTGTCTGATCAGGCTGGTTTCCCTGGAAAACTCACCCCTGCTGAGGCAACGACCCAGTGCCTACAACTCCACCACCAGAGAATGATGTTGCTCCCTTTCCACGCCTTCTGCATGTGAATACTCTCCACGGGGTGGGCTCCATTTTGTCAGGAAAGAAATTTCTCTACAAAACCCTGAAGGATAGACACTAAAAATGGGACCAGTGGTTACCTGCCCAGGGGAGTCTGGGTGGCTATTAGTCAACCCTTCAATGTATTTCCCAAAATTTCACTGACGAGGTATGTATGGATTAGAGTTCTCGAGCCCTAACAAAATACCACAAACTGGGTGGCTTACTGCAGAAATGCACTGTCTCACTGTTCTGAAGGCTGCAAATCCGAAATGAAGGTGGTGTTGGGGCCACACTCTCTACGCAGGCTCTAGGGGAACCCCTTCCCTGATGCTTCTATCTTCTGGTGGCAGCTGCCCATCATTGCTGTTTCTTGGCTTGTTCCGCTCATCACATGGCCTCCCTGTTGGTCTCCTCTTCTCTTCTCGTAGAAACGCTAGTCTCTGAATTATAAGCCTATCTTAACTAATTACATCTGCAATGACCCTCTTTGCAGATAAGGTCATGTTCTGGGGTCCTGGGGGTTAGGACTCCAACATACTTCTTGAGAGGGACACAATTCAACCCCTAATATGGTATTTTCAGGGGGAAAAAGACATACTTTTCCTACTCCTGGGGCAGGGGAGTCAAGTACTAGACAAATCTCTGTGAAGAGTTGGTTGACAGTTTCCTCTCCTTTCCTCTCTGTCTGCAGAGGAGCAGGCAGAGAAAGGCCTGTACATAGAGTGCAAGCAGCAAAGTTCCCCCCAGACGACCCACACCTGGGCACTATTTTCCCTCTGACCTGGTCCTGTGTCCTGTGCCAGGGGATACGCTCCACCTAAACTGAATTTCTCGGCCTGGCCACTTGGAAAAGGCATTGTGAGTGCTTACATTCCACACTCTAAGGTCAAGACTTCAAAAGCATAAACAAATGCAATCCAGCTACAGCGGAGGTTCTGCCCAAGGGGCAGGACTGATGCAAAGCAGGGAAAGATGGCACTGAGGTGGGGAAGGGGAGACAGCCTGGGAGGGTTTTGTGCGCACATGGGGATGGTGGCTCGGCTGGGCACAGAAGGTGACCAGAGTTTGCCAGTCAGATGCAGAGGAGGAGGTGGTAGGAGAATGAGGTGTCCTGGCATCTGCCCTTGTGACTTCCCCCTCTTGGAAAACTTCTCTTCCTTTAGCCCCTGTGGAATCACTGCCTCTGAGTCTCTATCTGCTTGTCTGTCCTATGTCCTCAACTAAAGGCCTGCCCCAGGCTCCATGCTCGGCTCTCAGCTCTCGGCCATCCTACCATTTCTCGTTTCCCAGGATTTCAGCACTGCCCCTGTGCAGAACATTCTGAGGTCTCCCATGCCCGAGCTGTAGTCACTCCACAGCCCCCGTCCATGCCACCATGCTGTGCTGGGTGGTGGGCAGGGACACTGGCACTTTTCTGTTCAAAATACCAGGCTTCTCCCTCTCCCACTCTGCTGCCAAGCCAGGCCCTCTCCCCCAGTTCTCTGCCACCGAGCCCTCTTTCCTGACAGTACTTTAGGCTTGAACATTTTACACTTTTGGCTGCCTTCTCTCCTTTAGCCCCAGTATTTAAGCAACACAGCCTGACTTCTCTTTCATTTGAAATTGTCACCCATACTTTCCCTTTCTGTCTTTTCCAAAGTTTGTTCCAAATGTAAGCTTCATGCTCGCATTAGTGCAGTGGTTCTCAAAGTGTGGTCCCCCCACAGCGCCTGCTACAGCATCAGAAGCTCTGGCGGAGGGTCCCACCGTCTTCATTTAACAAACTCTCCAGGAGATGTTGGTGCATAGGAGATTTGAGAACCAGTGGATTAGTGCAGGAACTTGCCGTGATCCCATCCCAATCCATTCTGACTGTGCTTCCAGATTCCTTCACTTTCTTCATTAGTGCTCCAGAACCATTGATGGCTCTCAGTTCCCCACCTCCCAAAAGCTAAACCCCTCCACCCCGTTTTTCAGTCTTCATTATTGGGTTCCACCTCTCCACACTTGTTCTCATGAGACTCCCTAAGGCCCTCTGCATTCTAGTTGGGACAGTGTGTCCATTTTCTAAGTGCCATTCCTGTGAGCATATATACACCTGCCCATCCCCACCCACCCATCCCGCCCCAGCCAGAGCTGGACCGGGACCTTTTGAAACCATCAACAATAAGAAGTGGCTGGTGCCCCTCTCTCAGGTGGGAAAAAAAAGCAACATAATACTTAGCTATGAAATACTCATGCAGAACTCAACCCAATCACTGATTCTTTCCCATATTGATTGGTTTGCTGCTATAAAAATATATCAGGTTCATTTTTAAAAGTGCTTTTTGGTGCCACTCTGCTTCCTACTGCTCCCAGTTTGTATCCGTATAGCTGACTGATTCGGTTCTGCCTTCGTGGATCCAAATCCACCCACCTTCTCTCCTCGAATGGGCAGACCCGTTTTCAGAACCTGTCTGGTCAGCAGGCACCTGCTGGCAGCTCTCAAGAAGTGACAGTTGCCCAGAGGCCTGAGACGCTACACATTAGCAAAGACACCACCTGGCAGGTGAGAATCCTGCCTGTAAGGCACTTCCCTAAAAGTTTTTTTAAAAAGTTTAAAGTGAATCAATCAGTGCTCAAGCTATGAACCTCATTTATAAGTCCAGCCCCACTTAAATGCCAGACACCTAAGACCTTCTCATGAATGTTTTAGCAGTAAAAACGTCCTATGTGTAAGTAACTTTCAAACCTCTAATGTAATGTAAGTGACACGTTTGAACCATGAAGAATTATTCTTTGGAGTTTTGGTTTTAACTGCAGAATAAATGGTGACAGTCGACTGTATGGTCAAGCAGACTCTGCAGACAGAGGTGTACACATTTTTTAACTGTGTGAAGGATATATATCAGCAAACTATGGCCATCTGTACAGTCTCCCCTGGACACACCTCAGAGGAGCCTCTAAAATCCAGGCCCTCTTCTGTCTTCTGCCCTGAGTACGTTAGCCAACCTCCCCAGCACCGATTCCCCAGGCCCCAGACTTACCCCCCATCAACAGGTTTGAAAGGGGCCTGGCATCAGGAAGGTGCCCTGGCTTCAGGGGCTCGCTGCCAGTCCTGTACTGCGGTTCTTGGTCCATGGTGCCCTCCTGGGCTGGGCAAGCTGCGTGCTCCACTTTAGTTGCTCTGAGAAAGTCCAAATTCCATGCTCCCTCGGCTCCTGGGAAATTCCAGAGCCTCACTGTCCTGGTCAGACGGTAAGAAACAGCCATCTGCAGCAGAGAACAGCACAGGGAGGGTAATTAGAGCACTACCTGTGGGCAGACGTGTGCACACAGACACACAGGCACATGCTCCACCTAGCTGGCTGGAGGTTGGCCAAAGCCCACAACAGCCCCCCCGCCAACCCCAAGTCTGCAAAGTTGCTGATGTCACGTCCTTTCCAAAACAGACCAGTCAGTGAGGTAGCCTTGGTGTTTATCAGAAACGAAACACAGTTTATAACTTTTGGAGAGCTGGACAACAGGGTGGGGAAAGGAAAGGCCTGCTGTAACATTTTTTTTTTACATGTTCTGCTGTTATCTGTTATTTGGAGGCTTCTTGTTGAGAGGCACCCCCACCTCAAGAGCTGAGAAAGTTAGTTTCACTGTAGCACGGCTGAATTGCTGGCACAGCAGCTTGCCCAGCACGCCCTGGCCATCTGCACATGTGGTTCCAATTTTTCTCCGGAGTTCCTTATGGGAAAATGTATCTATGTTACAGAAATGCACATTTGGAGGCACTGTTTTCTCTCTCCTGACTGCAAGAATCTCATTAACTGTCCTGCTTCACCCTTCCTCCACACATGGTAGTTTAACTCCTAAATAATTAGTGGTTGCTGTTAGAGAAATGGATTGCTAGGTGGCATGGGGGTGTGGGAGAGACTGGCTAGCCATCTTATAATTGTTAATTATGAAAAGTTTTACTTTGTGATGGTTTCGCCTATTTGTCTTTACAAAATATTTGGGTTTCTGGACAGGCGTCTTTTCAGACAAACCCAGTTGCCCTCCCCACATGTAGGGGCTGGTTCAGCTGATGGCTACCCCTAGTCTCGTCTCTTCCAAGTGGAAGGGGATTTTTCTTCCCCATTTGGGAAGGCTCTGAATTAGTCTCAAGCATAGTCTGGCCGTGAAATGACTGCAGACTTTCAAGACCAAAGATGTGGCCTTACTGTTTCAGATGTACAGAGCCTCAGTTCAAACACATGGAAGCCATTTTTAACAATTTGAGGAGTGTCCTTCGTATTTTAAAATGCATTTCCATACACATATATGTATACACATTTATCCCTTTACATTTTTCACATAAATGCAATGGGAGATGGTTCCATTTCAGCATATATAGCCATGGGCCTTTCTTTGATCCCTACTATGTAGCAGTCCATATTGTGCCAAAAGTATTTCATTGTTCCCCTATGCTGGAGGCAGAATATACCATTTCTTTTACTGCTGCAAAAAAATATTGCAGTCTGTATTTTTGTACATGTGGCTTCGTGGACATATGCAGATATTTCTGGAGGACAGATTCTGGAGTGGAAATTCTGGGTCAAAGTTATGCTCAAACACAGGTGATAATTTGTCTAGAACTAAAGACATACACAAGAGTTGGGTACAAGTCGAACTGGAAAATTTGGAATGAGATCAGTGGACTGTAGCAATGCCAATTTCCTAGTTGTAATATTGTACTACAGTTTTGCAAAAACTTATCACTGGGGGATACTGGGCAAAGCTATAGGAGATCTCTCCGTATTGCTTCTTACAACTGCATGTGAATCTACAATTATCTCAACACAAATTTCATTTTGAAATAAAGGGGCTGTTCACTTAAAACTGAGATGAACCCTGCCAAATTGCCCTCCAGCTCTATTTGCAGAATCAACTGAGAAGGCCAGAGGCATATACACTCTTCACCACTGAATGAGGAAAAAGCTGAAGAACAATGAAACTTGTACTTGCTGGGGAGGGAAAAATTGACTCCCAATGTACACTGGATGACAAGGAGTTAAACAGAGGGGCACAATGAGGAAGCTGGATACCACCTTCCCAGGTAAAATCTTAACAGTACAGCTTCTTTATTTACTTTTAATTACATTCCAAGAAGATCAGGTTTTTCCATATCAAATTTAAGTCTCTTGTCCAAAATGACAAGGATTTCCAGGTTGTAGCCTTATTACCTAATCAGTTTTTAATCTTGTCGTTATATTTACAATGTTGATCAACACTTGTGAATATCGGAGAATGGGAATGGATTTTTTAGGTGTTTAACAACAGTTGTAGTCAAGAATTAGGAAGCCATTTACAAAAGAAGTCTGTGCACTTTTAAGGCTCTGTATGGGATAAAGTTGAATTACATGTGTACGGGTTAATGCGATAGAGAAACGGGCGGGCTTATCACGAACCACAAGAGAACAATCTTACCAGGTTCTAGTCAGTCCCTGTGAGTGAGTTCAGGAAACTTGGCCCAGATTAGGCAATAAAAGAGAATTATGGCCTGCAGCCGCAGTAAGGCCACAGTCATTCCTTCCCAAGGGCAGTCTCGACATTAGCCAGGGCCTCCGCCCCGCCCTTCACCTAGACACCACAGCTGACATCACTCACAGCTTAGGAGACTTCCTCCCGCGGCCCTTGTGGAACCTTGCAGGTCACCTCCAATCAGTCATTGTTGGCCCAGGAGCTGAAACCTCTTGTCATTCCAGTCAGCAATTTTTCTAGCACAAAACCTTTAAAACCTAAAAGGTATACATCTCCTCTGAGAGTTTGGAATGATCAGCTTTCCCTGCCCAAAGCCTATCCATTGTTTTGGCGTGACTGGCTCTGCACGCAGAGCTATCTGATGCTGTTACTTTAGAAAGCAGTCATTCACCTTGCTACTCCATTTGGCTGTACAGTAAAAGTCAAAAAAGGTTTTTTTTTAAAATCTGGCATAATGCACTATTCTTGAGCAAATAATCAGGCAAATCAAAATTGAGAGTCTATATAACAATGGTGAAAGACAAGTTGGGGGGAGGCTTTCTAGATTAATGGAGAATAAAGAGATTTGATAACTGTAGGTGATGCATGGTCCTTGACTGGATCTAAGTGGGGATGGGAAAAGGCATAAAAGACAATGCCAGAGTCGTGGGAGCATAAACTATGGACCCTACTGGATAACCACAGCCCATCCATGTCTGAGTGTGATTACTGCACCTTGTCAAGAATAGAGTCTGTGTTCTTGGGAGACACATGGTGAAGTGCTTAGCACAGAGCCATGTGGGGTGTGATGCAGAGGGAGAAATGCACACCCCTGGGTACACATTTTGCACAAAATGGCAAAAGTTAATGCAAGCTCTATGGTCAAAGGACATGAGTATATAAAAAGCCTGCCTTGCCCAATCTGTTCACAGGCTATCATCATTCCTCATAAACCCAAAGGTGGCAGGTCCCAGCCCTTCAGGCTGATTGGAAACACTGTTCTCATCACACATTTATGTACGGTCATAAAACAAACAATGGCCTGTCTTTATTAAAATTTTTGATATTTTGGTCATCGTGGGCTTTTTTCCTCAGCACTGAAATTCTTAAATACTGAATGAAAATATCCATGTTGGTGACTGAGTTGGTCAGTGCTCCCTTACGCTTTCCGCCTCACCGGCCTCATCGAATCCTGGCCCTGGGGAAAAAGCACCAAGTCCTAAGCTCACGCACAAATGGTTCCTTTAGAGAATATTTCTATGCATACTAATTATACATGGGCGGACATCGATGCATATACATTAAACAGGTGTGTGGACACACATGCATACATATATGTATACATGCACGCATGTGTGTGTGCACACTGAGAAGCAAATGTGGCAAAATGCTAACAGTTGGTGACTTGAGCTGATGGACATGCAAATATTTGTCCTATTATTCTTACAATTTTTCTGTAACCTGGAAATTTTTTAGGATATAACAGTGGCAGGGGCAGAAAAACTAATAAATGAAAATAAAAACCTGGTTTACATTTTTTACAGGTTAAGCATGTTAAAATATGAAGCTGTGATTCTAAGCATGACCCATGTACTTGTCCTAGTATAGACTTTGCTAAGGGAAGGAGATATCTTCCATATGCAAATGTCCATGTAGGAGCAGCCCCTGGCAATGATCTGTGACAGGACAAAATGTGCAGTACTCGCATGCGGAGGGCACCCAGTGCTGACACACTGTACTTATTCAACAACTCATCCCCCACCGTGACCGCTTCAGGCAATGTCTCCAAAGCATCACCGGTTCTCTTTGTATCAAGTGCATAACACCTTCTCAGCAATGGGCACTGTTACCGAAAAAAGAATCATGTGTAAGCCTCAGGTTTACTGGGCACGGCAATATTAGAAACATCAGGGAAGAGAATTACTTTGGGAGAAACAGTTCCTTAATAAAATATGAACAAAAATGTACAGATGTTGAATGACATACCTAACCTTTTAAATAAGAGTTGAGGCTTAAACCTTTAAGTGACATAGACAAGCTTTCTTTTTTTTTTTTTTGAGAGGGCATCTCTCATAGTTATTTGTCATATGGTTGTTAACAACAATAAATTCTGTATAGGGGACTCAATGCACAATCATTAATCAACCCCATGCCTAATTCTCAACAGTCTCCAATCTTCTGAAGCATAACAAACAAGTTCTTAGATGGTGAACAAGTTCTTACATAGTGAATAAATTCTTACATGGTGAACAGTGCAAGGGCAGTCATCACAGAAACTTACGGTTTTGATCACGCATTATGAACTATAAACAATCAGGTCAATTATGATTATTCGTTTGATTTTTATACTTGATTTATATGTGAATCCCACATTTCTCCCTTACTATTATTATTATTTTTTTTAATAAAATGTTGAAGTGGTAGGTAAATGCAAGATAAAGGTAGAAAACATAGTTTAGTGCTGTAAGAGGGCAAATGTAGATGATCAGGTGTGTGCCTATAGACTAAGTATTAATCCAAGCTAGACAAGGGCAACAAAACATCCACGGATGCAGAAGATTTCTCTCAAAACAGGGGGGATGAGGTTCTAAGCCTCACCTCTGTTGATCCCCAATTTCTCACCTGATGGTCCCCCTGCGACTGTGCCTGTCTTAGGTTGTTCCTCCCTTGAGGAATCTTACCCGTCTCTGGCTAACCAGTCGTCTTCCGGGGCCATAGGGAAATGTAAAGTTGGCAAGTGAGAGAGAAGCAATATTGTTTGAAAAGGTTACTTTTTACTTTTTTGCAAATTTATGC